AGGGGGTGAATATAGAAAGAGAAACAAAAAAAAAGTTTAGGAACGGAAAGAACTGCATCATCTTAACAGTTAGTAGTCAGGGAGATGTGGAAGACTCAGCCAGAGGATTACAGAAAAACTCAGGAAAATCTGAAGGCTTGGAATACAAATGAACTGAATAAAGTATTTTAAAGAAATACTGTGTCATATGCTGCAGCTGGGTCAAGAAAGATGAGGCTTGACAATTCAACAGTAGATTTGGTAAGGTGGAGATCATTGTTAATACAGACAAGAGCATTTTTGGTGGAGTGATAGGACAGAGAGACTAATGTAAGAGGGATTATAAAAAATGGGAGAAGAGAATGTGTGTATAAATATAATTGATTATTTCATCTATAAAAAGGAAGAAATAAACACTTAGCATCATAAGTGATCAATTCCCTATAGTGATAATTGTCAATACAAATAAAATATATTTTACATATTATGAGCTTATCAAGTTCATAGATTGCTGACATGTTTCAATACCCAATGACTTGTATAGGGCCTTGAATTTAATGGATGATCAACTGGCCTTTGATACTGATAAATAAAATTTTTAAATATTTGAAGGCATAAGATAAATAATTATGTAATTGTGTGGACTGGTACAGCTAAACCTTTTCCAAATAAATGGAAGAAATTGCTCCATGCATGTAGAGAATGAGCCTCTACTTACATGTTCACAAACAAAACATGAATTGGAGGGGAGCAAAGCATTTAATGAGATAAATTAGGCATACTTTATTGGCATATTTAATTTGAGTCCCATTTGCTGTCTAATATAGTTATATTTTAATCTAAAGAAATGTTAACTTTTAGTCAAAATTATACTAGAAATAAAATAATGAAGTTAACAAGTATTTTTATTGTATAAATTATGTTTCAAAGTTGAAATTAGTTGCATTAGGCATTTTCTGAGTATTAATAATTGAAGTTTAAATGGGATTAATTTTAAAATGTCTTTGGCATCATCTCCAAATTCCCTGGCATTAATTTTCATGTTTTTCAGATTAATGACTTATGCAAGTTTTGGAAACTCATTGGACATAATTGAATCCTATTTGCATGGATACCAAAGCAGGGTGTCCTTGACTCATTTTTTTTAAGTAGATCTTTATTGGAGTATAATTGCTTCACAATACTGTGTTCATTTCTGTTGTGCAACAAAGTGAATCAGCCATATGCATACATATGTCCCCATATCCCCTCTCTCTTGAGCCTCTCTCCCATCCTCCTTATCCCACCCCTCTGGGTTATTGCAAACACTGAGTTGATCTCCCTGTGCTATGCTGCTGCTTCCCACTAGCTATTTTACATTCGGTAGTGTATATATGTCAAAGCTATTCTCACTTCGCCCCAGCTTCCCCCTCCCACCACGTATCCTCAAGTCTATTCTCTACGTCCACATCTTTATTCCTGACCTGCAACAAGGTTCATCAGTACCTTTTTTTTTTTTTTTAAGATTCCATATATATGTGTTAGCATACGGTATTTGTTTTTCTCTTCTGACTTACTTCACTCTGTATGACAGACTCTAGGTCCATCCACCTCACTACAAATAACTCAGTCTTGTTTCTTTTTATGGCTGAGTAATATTCCATAGTATATATGTGTGACATCTTCTCTATCAATTCATCTGTCGATGGACATTTAGGTTGCTTCCATATCCTGGCTATTGTAAATAGTGCTGCAATGAACTGTGGTACATGTCTCTTCTTGAATTATGTATTTCTCAGGGTATATGCCCAGTAGCTGGAAAGGGTGTGATGAAAAGATAACCCTCCTGCACTATTGGTGAGAATGTAAACTGATACAACCACTGTGGAAAACAATATGGAGATTCCTTTAAAAATTTGACTCATTTTTGATGACCTATCAACACTGATCAACAGGAAGAAGTAGATAATTAAGTAGAAAATAAAATGCCTGTTTTCTTAGGAAGCACAGTGCATGATATGCAAACTAAAGCACTTAATTTGGGGAGTAATAATTCATTTTTAAATGTTGACTGTTAGTTTTAAATTCAGCTAAATTTTAAATCCTTTAGCGTATATGAATATCAAACACTATGAATCTAAGTAAAAAAGTTTTTCTTGTGCATTCATATTCATTGGCGTCTGAGACACTGAAAGCTTTTTTGTCAAAAAGGAATGTTTGCCACGCTTTAAAACATTGTTGAAAAATTAGTGGACAGAGGATGTTTATTTTAGCCTGTTTACTGAATCCACCTCTATAGAGACAGAATGAAATGAAGACTTATCTTTAAAGAATATATTTGCCTGAATTAGCCATAATGTGTTAGAAATCATGTATTTTGTTTGGCAAACACAACACCTCACACCTTCACACTCTTGAAAAATCAATATTCTCAAGGAATACCTTTGTTCTTCCACCAAGAGCTAAATAAAAAGACATACTTCAAACAAAGCAGTGAAATTAGGAAGAGGAATACAAGGATTGACAGATCTACCAAACTAGCCTTTTACTCATATTGATGGATAGCTCAAAATATACCCTAAAAAGCTCACCTCTAACATGTGCTATTTATTTGACACTCATAGAGTTGAGATTGGAATTAAAGGAACTGTTAATATGTATGAATATACTTTGTTTGATGGACTTCTAATCATCCCTCAAAGTCCAGCTCCAGTATTCTCTCTAGGGTCTCCTTTCTCTCGATGTCCCTAGCACTCTACTTGTACTCATGACACAGCACAGGGCATATCTTATTCATCTACCCATGCCCAGTCCTTCTGCACAGGGAGGGAGGTGCTCAATAAATACTGAATGCAAAAACCTCCAACTATAAAAGTGACTGTTTCATTCTTCACTCCTTCATCTTCAGCTCCTGATATTGTCCTGCATTTAATAGGTGCTAAAACAACCTTTATTTATTAAGTGGATAAACTGATAAAAGTTTATAAAAGGCTATAACACACAATGCAAAATTGTCACCACCAATTTATTTACTTATTATAAATTTATTTATTTATTTATTTATTTATTTATATTTTTGACTGTGTTAGGTTTTTTGTTGCTATGTGCAGGCTTTCTCTAGTTGTGGTGAGGGGGCTACTCTTCATTGCTGCGGGAGATTCTCATTGCGGTGGCTTCTCTTGTGTGGAGCATGGGCTTTAGGCACATGGGCTTCAGTAGTTGCAGTGCACGGGCTTGAGTAGTTTTGGTTTCCGGGCTCTAGAGCGCAGGCTCAGTAGTTGTGGTGCATGGGCTCAGTTGTTCTGCAGCATGTGGGATCTTTCAGGACCAGGGATAGAACCAGGGTCCCCTGCATTGGCAGGCAGATTCTGAACCACTGCGCCACCAGGTAAGTCCCATCGCCACCAATTTAAATGCAAGTCTGATGTACTCCAGTGATCTTACCAGTTACTCTTTACTATCTCTCATATTTGTCCTCTCCATCTCTGGTTCATTAACTCTCATCTTGTATTTCCCTTATCCTTTAAATACATTTACCTGGATATTCTTCTAGCACTACATAGTCAACATGTGGAAAATTGAATTTCAATCTACGTATTTTAATTTTCTTTTCTGTTAAAGAGATCTCAATTCCCTTGGTTATGAGTTCTTTGGCTTTGTCCTTTTCCTCACCTCAACACCTCCTGTTTTTAGCCAAGCCTGATAATGGTATTTCCACACTCTCACTTCTGATTTTTCCAATTATTCCTGGAAATGCATGGTTAAGTCCTTATAATCTGTATTTTGGACTTCTATGTTAGTTTTCTGTCTGGTTAAGTTTTCCTAGACTACTATGTGAATCTTTTACCTGGTGTCTTTACATTCAATTCCTCTCCTACCCTCTCCCTATTCAATCTGTCCTATGCAATTTTTAAATGTAACACACTCTTAAATTTTCAATCACTTTCTTGTTTACAAATCAATGGTGTACAATTTATCACTAAATAGAAGTTCAACTCCTTAGGGCTGCAAAGTTATCAATATCTACACTCAACCTATTTTCAATCTTTTTCCTCTCCCCTTTATTATTATTAACATTATATTCTAGCCAAACTAAACTGAAACTCTCTTCTCAAACATTCACTGTATTTTGCAAATATTTGCTTTATTCATGCTGTTCCAGAAATAACACTTTTCATCTTTTCTATCTAAATCCTACTCATCCACTAAGATTCATCTCAAATAATACTCCCTATGTGCATGCCAAAGGAGGAACTCAGTTACAGGGTTTCCTGTTAATCATACTCATAATTTTCTATCATCACTGGCCCATGTGAGGCCCCTGTTTTGTTTTATTCAGTTATTTATTCCTTTAACCCCCTCTCTCTGTCACCATTCCTATGCAGCCTTTCAAGAGCAATAATTTAGGGTGTTTAATATGTATCCAAAATTTATGTGTTCTGATCAGACCATCATTATATAAATGACATTTTGCTATGGAATGCATTTTGTCTTTTCTTTTTCACTCAGTATTATGGGTTTTAGAGATCTATCTACATTTCAGTGTGTACAATCTATTCTCTTTTTTCTAACTGCTGCATCTTATTCTACCAATTCACTGTGTATACTGCAGCCCAAGTAAACTTTAAAAATACAAATTTGATTATGCCATTCTGCTGCTTAATATTTTTTGGTAATTTTCTCATTTCACTTAGCATACATATCAAAATTCTTAGCATGTTTATAAGACCTCAGACGATCTGGACTGTGTTTAGCTCTTAAGTTCCACTCTTTACCCTTCTCCCCTTTGACTGCATTCCAGCCATACTAAGAACCTCATGCCTGTTATATTTCCCCTTTTACTCTTTGCACATAATGTTCTGTCATACTATGGGTATGAGCTTAAATTTTGCTTCCTCAGCTAAGCCTTCTAGGACTGGTGAAATAAACCAGGGACCCAAATCTTAAATATTTTTTCATATCAAATGCTTTTTATTACACTTTACACAATCTGTGTATGTATTTATTTCTGTGTCCAGTCAATTCTTTAGTATCTGTCTTACCCACTATAAGATCAGCTCCATGAAGGCTAGGGTCAGGTGTGTTTGCTCCACAGTCCATCTTGTTTCTGGCCCATGATCCACAAGGAAGCCTTCAAGAAAAAATGTTGAATGAATGGATGACACAGGAAAAGTGACTTGCTCAGCCTCAGGAAACTAATTAAAGTCAGCCTCAGGACAAGAAAGTAGTACTTTTTTTGGTAAACTTATTTTTAAATATTTTCTTATTTATTTATATTGAGGTATCATTGATTTATAATATATTAGTTCTAACTGTACAACATAGTGTTTCAAAATTTTTATAGATTATATTCCTTCAATAGCTATTACAAAATATTTGTTATCTTCCCTATGCTGTATGTTATAACCTGGTAGTGTATTTATCTTATACATAGTAGTCTGTACTTCTTAATACCTTACCCTTATACTTCTCATCCTACTGAAAACTGCTAGTTTGTTCTCTATATCTGTGTGTCTGAGTCCTTTTTGTTATATTCAGTAGTTTGTTCTGTTTTTTGGGGCTCCACATATCAGTGATAACATAGAGTATTTGTCTTTCTCTGTCTGACTTATTTCATTTAGCATAATACCCTCCAAGTGCATCCATGTTTTTACAAATGGCAAAATGTCATTATTTTTTACAGCTAAGTTGTACTCCATTGTGTATGTATGTATATATACATATATCACATCTTCTTTATCCATTCATATGTTGTTGGACACGTTGTCTCCATATCTTGGTTACTGCAAATAAGGCTGCTATAAACATTGAGGTATGTGTATATTTTCGAATTACTGCTTTATTTTCTTCAGATATATAGCCAGGAGTGGAATTGCTGGATGATATAGAAGTTGTATTTTTGGTTCTCTGAGGAAACTTCACACTGTTTTCCACAGTGGTTTACCAATTTATTACCCTAAAAGAGTGTACTAGGGTTCCCTTTTCTCCACATCCTCACCAACACTTATTTGTTGGCTTTTTGATGATAGCCATTCTGACAGGTGAGAGGAGATATCTCATTGTGGTTTTAATTTGCATTTCTCTGATAATTAGCTATGTTGAACATCTTTTCTTGTGCCTGTTAGCCTTCTGTATGTTTTCTATTCAGGTCTTCTGCCCAGTTATTAACTGGGTTGTTTGATTTTTTATACTGAGTTGTATGAGCTGTTTGTATACTTTGGTTATTAACCTCTTATTGGTCACATCATTTACAAATAAATTTTCCCATTCAGTAGGTTTTCTTCTCATTTTGTCCATGGTTTCCTTCACAGTGCAAAACCTTTTAAGGCTAGTTAGGTCCCATTTCTTTATTTTTGCTTTTATTTCTTTTGCCTTAGGAGAGCAGTCCCCAACCTTTTTACCACCAGGGACTGGTTTCATGGAAGACAATTTTTCCACAGATGGGGGACAGGATTTTGTTCAGGCGGTAATGAGAGTGATGGTTCAGACAGTGATGCAAGCAACGGTTCAGGTGGTAATGTGAGTGATGAGGTGTGATGGGTAGTGGCAGATGAAGGTTCCCTCGCTCACCCACCACTCACCTCCTGCTGTGCAGCCCAGTTCCTAATAGGCTGTGGACTTCTACCAGTCCACATCCTGGGGGTTGGGGACTCCTGCCTTAGGAAACAGATCCAAAAAAATATCGCTACAATTTATGTCAGAGAGTGTTCTGCCAATGTTTTATTCTAGGAGTTTCAAGGTTTCAGGTCTTACATTTAGGTCTTTAATGCATTTTGAATTTACTGTTTTATTTGGTGTGAGAAAATGTTCTAATTTCACTGTTTTACATGTAATTGTTCAGTTTTCCCAGCACTACTTATTGAAGGCACGGTGTTTTCCCCTTTGTATAATGTTGTCTCCTATTTTTAGATTAACTGATCATAAGTTTGTATGCTTATTTCTGGGCTCTGTTCTGTTTCAATGATCTCTGTGTTTGTTTTTGTGCCAGTACTATGCTGCTTCAATAACTATAGCTTAGTATTATAGTCTAAGCCAGGGAGCATGATACCTCCAGCTTTATTTATTTCTGAAGATTGCTTTGGATATTTGGGATACTTTCTGGGTCCATACAAATTTTAGTATTATTTGTTCTTGTCTGTGAAATATGTCATGAATATTTTCATAGGGAGTTCATTGAATCTTTAGATTGCCTTGAGTAGTATGGTCATTTTAACAATATTAATTCTTCCAGTACATGAACATGATATATTTGTCAATTTTTTTTGTGTAATCTTCAGTTTCTTTCATCAGTGTTATAGTTTTCTGAGTACAGGTCTTTTATCTCCTTAGGTAGGTTTATTCCTAAGTATTCTATTCTTTTTGATGTGATGGTAAAAGAGATTTTTTCCTTAATTTATTTTTCTAATAGTTCATTGTTAGTGTATAGAAATGCAACAGATTTCTGTAAATTAATTTTGTATTCTGCAACTTTGCCAAATTCATTGGTGAACTCTCAGTTTTCTGGTGTCATCTTTAGGATTTTCTTTTTTTTTTTTTAACATCTTTATTGGAGTATAATTGCTTTACAATTGTGTGTTAGTTTCTGCTCTATAACAAAGTGAATCAGCTATACACATACACACGCTCCCATATCTCTTCCCTCTTGCGTCTCCCTGCCTCCGACCCTCCCTATCCCACCCCTCTAGGCAGTCAAAAACTACTGAGCTGATCTCCGTGTGCTATGTGGCTGCTTCCCAGTAGCTATCTATTTTACATTTGGCAGTGTATATATGTCCATGCCATTATCTCACTTTGTCACAGCTTACTCTTCCCCCTCCCCATATCCTCAACTCCATTCTCTAGTAAGTCTGTGTCTTTATTTCTGTCTTACCCCTAGGTTCTTCATGACATATTTTTCCCCTTAGATTCCATATATATGTGTTAGCATATGGTATTTGTTTTTCTCTTTCTGACTTACTTCACTCTGTATGACAGGCTTTAGGTCCATCCACCTCACTACAAATATCTCAGTTTCGTTTCTTTTTATGGCTGAGTAATATTCTATTGTATATATGCGCTACAGCTTCTTTATCAGTTCATCTGTTGATGGACACTTAGGTTGCTTCCATGTCCTGGCTATTGTAAATAGAGCTGCAATGAACATTTTGGTACATGACTCTTTTTGAATTATGGTTTTCTCAGGGTATATGCCCAGTAGTGGGACTGCTGGGTCATATGCTAGTTCTATTTTTGTTTTTTTAAGGAACCTCCATACTGTTCTCCATAGTGGCTGTATCAATTTAAATTCCCACCAACAGTGGAAGAGGGTTCCCTTTTCTCCACACCCTCTCCAGCATTTATTGTTTCTAGATTGTTTGATGATGGCCATTCTGACTGGTGTGAGATGATATCTCATTGTAGTTTTAACATGCATTTCTCTAATGATTAGTGATGTTGAGCATTCTTTCATGTGTTTGTTGTCAAACTGTATATCTTCTTTGGAGAAATGTCTATTTAGGTCTTCTCCCTATGTTTGGATTGGGTTGTTTGTCTTTTTGTTATTGAGCTGCATGAGCTGCTTGTAAATCTTGGAGATTAATCCTTTGTGAATTGCTTCATTTGCAAGTATTTTCTCCCATTATGAGGGTTGTCTTTTGGTCTTGTTTATGGTTTCCTTTGCTGTGCAGAAGCTTTTAAGTTTCATTAGGTCCCATTGGTTTATTTTTGGTTTTATTTCCATTTCTCTAGGAGGGTGGTTAAAAAGGATCTTGTTGTGATTTATGTCATAGAGTGTTCTGCCTATGTTTTCCTCTAACAGTTTGATAGTTTCTGGCCTTACATTTTGATCTTTAATCCATTTTGAGGTTTTTTTTGTGTGTGTATGGTGTTAGGGAGTGTTCTAATGTCATACTTTTACATGTAGCTGTCCAGTTTTCCCAGCATCATTTATTGAAGAGGCTGTCTTTCCTCCACTGTATATTCCTGCCTCCTTTATCAAAGATAAGGTGACCATACGTGCATGAGTTTATCTCTGGGCTTTCTATCCTGTTCCATTGATCTATATTTCTGTTTTTGTGCCAGTACCAGATTGTCTTGATTACTGTAGCTTTGTAGTATAGACTGAAGTCAAGAAGCCTGATTCTTCCAGCTCCATTTTCCTTTCTCAAGATTACTTTTGCTATTTGGGGTCTTTTGTGTTTCCATACAAATTGTGAAAATTTTTGTTCTAGTTCTGTGAAAAATGTCAGTGGTAGTTTGATAGGGATTGCATTGAATCTGTAGATTGCTTTGGGTAGTAGAGTCACTTTCACAATGTTGATTCTTCCAATCCAAGAACATGGTATATCTCTCCATCTATTTGTATCATCTTTAATTTCTTTCATCAGTGTCTTAAAATTTTCTGCATACAGGTCTTTTGTCTCCTTAGGTAGGTTTATTCCTAGATACTTTATTCTTTTTGTTGCAATGTAAACTATGTATAATAATATTCCATCTGCAAACAGTGACTTTTATACTTCTTCCTTTCCAATTTGGATTCTTTTTATTCCCTTTTCTTACCTGGTTTCTGTGGCTAGTAATTCCAGTACTATGTTAAATAACAGTGGCAAGAGTGGGCATTATTGTCTTGTTCTTAATCTTAGAGGAAATGCTTTCAGCTTTTAACCATTGAGTATGATGTTTTCTCTGTGTTTGTCATATATGGCCTTTATTATGTTGAGGTAGGTTCTCTCTATGCCCACTTTCTGGAGAGTTTTTATCATAAATGGATGTTGAAAGCTTTTTCTGCAGCTATTTAGAATATCATATGGATTTTATCCTTCAGTTTGTTGATATGGTTTATCATATTTATTGATTGGCATATATTGAAGAATCCTTGCATGCCTGGGAGAAACTCCACTTGATCATGGTATATGATCCTTTTAATGTGCTGTTGGATTCTGTTTGCTAATATTTTGTTGAGGGTTTTTGCATCTATGTTCATCAGTGATATTGGTCTGTAGTTTTTTGTGTGTGTGACATCTTTGTCTGGTTTTGGTATCAGGGTGATGGTGGCCTCGTAGAATGAGTTTGGGAGTGTTCTTCCCTCTGCTATATTTTAGAAGAGTTTAAGAAGAATACGTGTTAGCTCTTCTCTAAATATTTGATAGAATT